GGCTAAAGTCACCTGAATGAAATTTGCTGAACCATTGTTGACACTTACGAACATTCAAAACATTTCCATAAACTTTTTTGATATTCTTTATGGCTACAGAGGCATTGTTTCCCTTCTTGTATTCAAACAGCATTACATGCTGAATGTGTGTCTCATCATGTGCCATCACTTTAAGGGATTAGAGTATACTAAACTTTACACATTATGTAGGCTACACTATTGTGATGTTTAGGCAGTTCGTTTGACTATTATACATGATGTACATTTCTTGAGGGGTGGTTAATGAAAGTGTTCCAAAACGTGACATTAATTTCTTTATGACCTAATACTTCAATACAAAGGTGTCAGAACCGCTTTTATGTATTTAACTTTATAACAACTGTAAATTATATTTATTTTCTGGGGTGTATACCCAACCCCGTAAATTGAGCTGCCTTTGGCAGCATTCGAGATGCTTTTGGCAACTCCTTATACTCTCAATCTCTCGTAAAATCTGCATGTCTAGCCAAGCACCACCATTTTGCAACTTCTTCCTACACCACAGCTTCAGTAGACATTTTCTACAACATATTAAAATTGTATCAGTTTAAAGAAAAGTCTAACACTCAGTCATAGAATATCATGATAAGTTTATTTATTGATAATATTAAGTATGGTAAAGATTAGCTTTAACTAAGTTAAAGGAAAAAGCTGTATATAAGTTACAATTTTGGTTTATCTCTCTATCGAATATAGGCTGTACTTAATATTAGGCCTATGACAATTAGACTTGTAGATTTCACTGTCTGTGATTGAAATTATTTTGTGTTATTCTAGAAATTCTTCATTTAAAGATGTACCATTATGATAAAGATGCTAATTTTACCACAAAAGTTTTATGGGTCTCTGCTAGTTAACCTTTTTGGCACGAGCACTTGTAATTTGCAGGGGGACCGTATGGGAACTTCGCTTGTACAACAACACATACCATAACTCTATGATTTCTTAATGTATTCTCACCAAAACTGGTATGATTTTGTTAAGGATTGTAAGTATCTTGTACATAAAGAGTGACATTATTTTTATTAAGTGTTTCTACTAAAAACATGTTATTTATCTACTGTAGTTGTTTGCACTCAAACTCTTAATATTTCGAGTGCAAGGTAATTTTCATTTTAAATAAAAATACTTTTCTTCATCTTATAGTTTTCATATTTCATTTGCATAATATCTAGAGCCTCCTAAATGAATATCAAAAGTTTTTTAAGGTAAATGTTTATATTTTATTTTTCATTTTCTCTACCATATCACTGACTGTAGACATTATCATCAACATACAATGCAATAAAATGTTTAAAATTAAGAAATAGAAAAAAAATGTACATACCTTTTAAATTTTTGTGGAATATCTTAAAAGAACTTCTTTTG